TATATATATATATATATATATTTAATTTAAAAACATATTATGCCAAAATACTTAATAAGATATTCTTTTCAAGAGCTTCATTCCTTTAATGAAGCTTTTTCCTTTATTATGGTATCAGATAAGTTGTATCAGTCATGACATAACTTTGTCTAACTTTGTGATTGACCCTAATATACAAAATAATTGCTTTGAGCTACATTTATATTTCACAATAATTTCTTTCTAAACGTATTACTTCAATAAAGGTGTAAATCCAAACCACAGAGCTTGTTCGAGCACAGCTGCATACATAACTATGCCTCAATGCACTATTTAGCACGAGGAAGTAGTCATGCAGTGGTCTGGCCTTTACCTTCCATCCTCTTCCTGCTCTGCTGTAAAAAGGAAATGTGTTGCTGAGCCATGTGTAAATATCATTCAAACTCAGCTTCATTTCAGGAGCAGAACTTATCGCCATGGCTATCAGAGTGGCGTAGCTGTGAGGGGGTTTCACTTTGGAATTAGTTCCAGGGGACGGTGTAGGTATGGGAGGGAAGTCCTTCTCTTTTCCTCGTTCTTTCTTTCGTTCCACTCTTTCTTTCCCTGATCGCAAAGTGCTGATTCCAAGCTGAGGAAGCCAGTCAATGCTGGTCAAGCTAGAGTCCAGTTCAGAAGTCATGCTGAAGGGGATATCTGAGGTGCAGAGAAAACAAAACATTATGTAATAACTGTGTGTTAAAGGGATAGTTCACCCAAAAAATGAAAATTCTGTCATCATTTACTCGTCCTCATGTCGTTCCAAACCTGTATGAGTTGCTTTCTTATGTTGAACACAAAAGAAGATATTTTGAAGATTGCTGGTAATCGCACAGTTGGTGGTTGCCATTGACTTCCATAGTATTTTTTTTCCTACTATGGAAGTCAATGGCAACCACCAACTGTTTGATTACCAGCAATCTTCAAAATATCTTCTTTTGTGTTCAACATAAGAAAGCAACTCATACAGGTTTGGAACGACATGAGGGTGAGTAAATGATTACAGAATTTTCATTTTTTGGTGAACTATCCCTTTAACCCGTGCAGTCCAGCTAAGCTGTGAAACCAACTAAATAATGCCATACGCAGTTGCAAGACAATATGAATTACAAGTATGTTGCAATAGAAATCTCAATCCTATTTAAAACTCATTAAGTAATGGTTTGACAAACAAACAGAAACTTAAAGCATTAGAGTTATTGCACACTGTATTAATTAAATGTTGGATACACTTTTAGACCTATTATTTCGAAAACAGCCTACTATAAGAGAATAATATGTGTGTTTAAGTATAAAAGATGAGTGAAAACATACCTCTGTTCTCTCAAAAGGCCACAGGCTTCACACTGTGTTAATTTTTAATGCTGTCATCTGTTGCACAGAGGCATCTGAGGGATCTCAGTAAATGCTTATTTCCCCTTCTTCTTTCTTGTCTTATGTTTCTCGCTGCATTCATTCGCTACCCGAAGCGTCTAAGTTAACACGTTTTGTATGAAATTTCTGTTTGGGAGAAGAAAAAAACTGTCGGAAAAAGTTCTTCCCTTTCTGTCTGCGTTGAACGTCACACACTCCACCCTTCGTTTGACATTTGAGAACTCGGTGTGTTTCTCCTCCTCTCTTTCGTTCTCTCCTCCTCTCATGACTGCACTTGTAGGAACCGAAGAACCGTTTTTTTGAACCGGTTCATTGAAACGAACTGTCCGAAAGAACCGGTTCGCGGAAAAGAACCGGACTTCCCATCACTAGTGTTTTACTTGTGGTCAAGTTCCTGTCTCTCTACTGAAATAGGAGAGGAGTGACGCACCAGGCGGGAACCCACTGTAATAATTTCCATTCAGATTTTCTTGGTCCTATGACACAGAGATCTTTGCATCCTGGTGGATTTCACACTTGGCACACGTAATAATGCAGTGAGGAAAAAAACATTTCAACACCATATGCATAATCAAGAGGCTGACACGGCAAGTTTTATTATTGTAGACTAATGAATGTACCGAATATAATCATTTGGTAATGCTTTACAGTTAGGTTTTATGCATTAATATCTCTTTACATGCAAGTTAATGTGAACTAACAATGAAGTATACATTAATTTTAATTCATACATATAATACACATTGAAGTTGTATGTTAAAATATGCATTGTTAATGCTTTATGATCAAACATGAAATAATAATGAAAAATAATATATTCATAAATTAAAATTAAACTAGATTAGGAAATGTGGTAACATTTTACAGTAAGTTTCCATTTGTTAACATCAGTTAACTGCATTGGTTAACATCAACTAACAATGAAAAATACTTTTTATACTAATACATTATAAAAATCAAAAGTTGTAACTGTTAATATTATATAATGGACCTTAGCTAACATGAACTAACAATACAAAGTTGTATTTTTATTAACTAATGTTAACAAATAAATACTGTAACAAATGTATTGCTTATTTTTAGTTAATGCATTAACTAATGTTAACATGCAGAACATTATTTTAGCATTACCAAAAACTCTTCTTCTGACACAGAATTGTAGAACCATTTGAAAAATTCTCGAAATTTCAGGTATTTATTTCTTTGTAAATAATTTTATTTGAATACACAAATGCTCAGAGCTCACACGAGTCCAACAGGTTCAAAGAGCGGTTTGTGCTGATTTCAAGTAATTTATGTAATTATGTCTGCAGGGTGTGTGACTGGCCCTAGAGAGAGCTGAAGAAGGCCAGCAGGCCTGTATCAGGAGAGGGATGAGCCAAGAGCTTCTGGATCTGTGTGCAAAAAATGAAGGAGGACAGGTCAGAACATGAACAGAACAATAGCCAAATGCAAACGTAATCACTACAAAATCCCAACCACCTTAGTATGCATTAAGATTTCAAATTTCTTAAATAGAAAAGATCCTAAATTTAAATTTGTTTTTTTTTATTCAAGAAACTTCAACTGTATATATTTAAATTGTACATTTCTTGAATAAATGTGTGTGTGTATGTATATATATATATATATGCAGACATAATACACACAAGAAAAAAATCTGATGGATTTAGTGTCCCGTGAGTATGTGATGATGATGAATTAAAATATGGCTGACAGAGAGGTGGACAGGTACCTCTTTAAAGTTGGGGTGCTTGGCATCCTGCACTAGTTGTAATAAAACTCCCTCTGTAGTGGTGAGAAATGCCCCACTCTGCTTCAGTCGTGACAGTGCAAAAAGACGATCTGTCTGACTGAAAATAACAGACAGATATGTATAGCAAACCTTGAGAATCACTTAAGAATTGGCTCATAGGACACAGCAGATTGTGCACAACCGCCTCAAAAAATGAACATATATCTGTAAGCAAACACTGTAAAATTCCTCCTGTTTCTATAGACCTTTAGAAAAAGCTTATAGATGCCATCCATCAATTGACTTGAGTTTGTGTTTGAAAAGATGTGGCTGTGAGTCAAGATAAGGAATTTAGAAGTCTTGTGTTTGCAATGATTTCAACATAATTTTTCATACTTTATCACATAGCGCCAAGATACATCAATATAAAATATCACAATAGTTTTCCATTTTGTATATTTTAAAGAAAATGATTTCTATACCTTCGAGAGGAGACAGCATCTGCTACAATATGAACCTCCATGCCTCGCTCTACAAGATCATAGGTTGTACACTACAGCAGAACAAGAACCCTAACGCTTTAAAATTGTATGACAATAAAGTTATACAATACAATATAATAAAGGTCATGATCAAGATATAGTAAAAGTGCCATGGCACCAGTTTAAACAGTCATTTGATGTTACCGCAATGCACGCTTGAGCCTCGATGCCACATAGTATGACTTGCTGAGGGTCTCCCAGGCTCTTGAGTGCGCTCTCCACACTCTCCGTCAGCATGGAGAAACTGGTCTTTGTATGAGGCTTCAAGCCCTCGGCCCCCAGCTCAGGAACAGTGGGGCCCAAACCTTTAGGGTACTGCTCAGTTAAAATCTGAGGGATGCTTAAGATTCTACATGCCTGGAACAGAAACATAATTAATATTATGTTATTATTAATATTATATTAATGCAATATTAATGAGACTTAATAAGATATTAATAAGACTTGGATATTATTCTGATATTCCTCACTTAACACACGTGATCCTCAGAGGTCAAAACAGACTTAAGACAATAAGAATTACATTTTTTTATTGAATGAATGTACAATGTTTTGTTTCAATAATATTTTTGATAATAATTATTTGCTTTTATCAGAGTTTGTATTCAATATATTTAGATGTTATCAAAGACTACTTCATTGTAGCTTATTGAGTTCCTATTAATTTCCTTTGGCAGTAGTTTTTGAAAAAAACACGCGAGCCTATTTTTTAAAAATTCCATTTAGCTTTTTCTAATCATGATTTTTTTTTGTATGTTCAAATCACAAATGCAACAAAATTCACCAAGTTTCGTACCATTCCGACAAACTAATAAATAAAAAATCGAATTCAAAATTAGATAGAATGGATAGAGACAATGCATAGAAAATCAGCTGACAAGATGCAGTGATGACGGCGCATTTAATATATAGTAGGTGACTATAATACGTTGTATGACAACTGCAGCAGTTTTGATAAACTGAAGGTGCTGATCTTACCTGTAGCAATCTTGCGGCATTGCTCACAATGTTTGTGAACTGGAAAATAGTGGGTCTGAACTTCTCCTGTATGTCACACAGTAGCAGCACTGAGCCTTTGGTGGACAGCCTGCCAATTCTTGCCACTGCAGAAACAAACAGAGCAATTATATCACACGTGAATCACCGTGTCTTTGTGCATACACTGTAATAAAGTGGTTCTCAATCGGGGGCCTGGGAAAACTTCCATGGGGGCCCCAATACGTTTTGAAAAATTTGAATTGATTTGAAAATTGATTTCAATTTAGTTATATTGACATAATCTTAACTGAAATAATAAAACACTAAAAATAACATTGTACAACATGAAACTTACATATTTGTTGTTTTATTACAACAGAAGTACATATTAGCTTATTAGCAATGGAAGCAAAAAGATTGAGAGCTACCGCTGTGATCCATATTTCGACTAAACTGGTATTAGTGTCTGACTGTGCCATCTAAATGAAATTAAAAGAAAAATATTGAATGAAAATGAATACTAAGTTGTCTAAAAACACTGTCATTGGGTTTTGAGCCACCGTCCTTGCAACAACAAAAGTGAAAGTACGTAGGCAGTGCTCCTAATGCCCTGCATATTAATAACGCGTTGAATCCTTTGCAATTATACATAGATTGCAACTTTCATACTGCGCTAATAAAGAGTTCAATAGCATTCAGAGACAACGAGCTGTACTTACTGTTTGCACAGAGCAATATGGGGGAGTCGCAGACCGCAAAGATCAAGTGAAGACAAACCAGGTCACCGTTACCCGGGTGTATGTGCTTTATATAAGTGTCCACCCACTGCTCTTATTGGTAAAACTGTTGTTGAAACTCTAGTGAAGTTTATATGGTAATGAATAAGCCGAGTACAACACCAACAGAATCATAAATGACATAAAAAGCAGCAGCACATAAAATGCAGAAAAGAGGACTCGTTACGGCACAAATGTATAGGTTAATATCTACGTGTGCCCTTGAAATATATATGTCCTTGATTATTACAACAATGCAGCACAATTCGCTCGCTGTAACATTAAACAAACCTCCAGATAAGAGCCCACTAGTGGCGTCTCGGACATGAATTTGAATGAATCTTTTAAATGAACAAATCATTCTCAATCGCTGCATTCAAAGACGGATTATATCAAGAGCCAATAGGATTCGAGTAAGGGATGTGAAGGAACACTTAATTGGTTGGACCTGCTGGACGAATACGCCCCCATCGATGAACGAGTCAGTGTTCTGAGTCATCTCGTTTGTGAACGAACTAAATTAATGATGCTTCGGTTGAGTAAATGATTAACTGGTTCACCCATAACCCTAATAACACACAAAAATACTCTTGTCAGCACACTCTGGTGCGACGATGTAACCTACAGAGAGGATCACCGGATAAGAACAACGGATTCAAAAGATCCGAGTCTCTAGGCTGAATCTTAAATCCCCACCGCTGCTCACTGCCTATTAGCAGATCACCCATTAGGTGGCGCAAGTCAGATACAAAACAATACAGTCTAGTTTATTCAGTTTTTGTTTGTGCAGAATAGGTGTATTTACATGTTATGATTTTAAATGCACATACACAATCCTGAAATCAGCAGCAGTAATAGATACCCTTTATAAGCTAATATATTTCAGTGGCTTAAAAGTGTGAAGTTGACCCGGAAGTGTTTGGGAGTGGCCACTGACCTTAGTGGGCGCGCTCTCGCGGCCTTGGCGTTTCACAGAGATTTTGTGGAAAATAGAGGCTGTATTTAACGTATTTCTGTAGTTTTGGGGAATGCACGGGCTCTTCCAAGAGCAGAGCAGTCGTTTATTCCAGTACATCATCCGGTGCATGTGTGTTTACTCTCGCTCTCTTTGAAAGCACGTTTTCCTCATGCTAGTCTTTGTATGCACTGAGCGCTTCTGGAAGACATCAGCGCGACTCATTAAACTGCGCTTTGCTTTCTCAGGGTCGCATTTTTTCCCTTACAAAAACTAGTTTCTTAATTGCTTCACGCTTGGTGTGAACTTTATTTTTTGTTTGTGAGATAATCGCAGCCACTGAATAGCTAGCTGCTAGCTAGCCCGCCTCACTCTCAGTCGGCGTGTTGGAGCTGCTGGAAAATGTCAGATTTTGACGAGTTTGAGAGACAGCTGACCGAAAACAAGCAAGGTGAGGAATGAAGGTGTAATTGTGATGAGAGTGAGGGTATAGCCATGTGTTAGAGCCGATGTAGTAGTGGTCAGTGAGTAAATCTCTTCTGCTGGTGAAGCTGGACGTGCCTTCAGGCTGAAGGAGAATCTGCATCACATTGCACAGATGAACACCAGACAAATGCTGTACTGTTATGTCTTGCATGCATTGCAAACCTAAGTTACACAGGATGTGGGTTTGAGGTTCTAAAAAAAGCTTGCATGCATGCATGCAGAAATATTATCTGGGTAGTGCTGATGCTGATCAGTGTCTTTTCCTATCTGCAAATACATTTAATACGTTCATAATATTCAGTTGTGACAGTTCACCTAAATGAAAATCCTGTCATTAACTTCCAAACCTAAATGAAAATTTTCTTCTGCGGAACAAAACCAAACATATTTTGAATAATGTTAGTAACCAAATAGTTTTTGGTGCCGACTGAGTTCCATTGTATGATTTTTGTATGAGCATACATGTTTGGAATTACATGAGGGAGAGAAAATGATAAAGAGATTTAAATTGTGGTTGCACTGTCCCTTTAAGGATTTAGATATTGAAGTGACCAATACTGATAATTTAATTAACTTTTCCCCCAACAATAGACAACACTGGTGCTTAGATGAGCATCTCTAAGCAGATATCAGTTTGAATGAACGTGTTGAATTAAAGAACATGCTCATTTCGATCATGCTGTGTGCTCAATTGAGCAGCAGACAGAGACAAGGAGAACAAGCACCACCGGCGCAGTGGCTCAAGAAGTCGCAGCAGAGACCAGGACAGAAAAAGGAGGAGCCGGGACCAGGACAGAGAAAGGAGAGGCAGCAGCCGAGATCGTCATGGAGACAGCAAGGACCACAGACACAGACGCAGGTAAAAATTGAAATTCTTAGTGCCATTCACTAAAGTCTTGACGAGAGCCTAGCGATTTTCAAATACGTTATTGTTGGTCTGTGTTTGTCCATGCGCAGTCGCTCTCCACACCGTGAGAAGAAAAAGATTAAAGTGAAAAAATATTGGGATGTTCCTCCTCCTGGATTTGAACACATCACACCCATGCAGTACAAAGCCATGCAGGGTAAGAATCTGTTTTTCTTTCATTCTTTCTTAATTCCTTTCACCTGCTGAAGGGCCACCTGCTCTCCTGTCAACCAATCACTGGGCTAAAACAAGGGTTTTAAACATTTCTGGTTATGTGCCGCCTCAAAAAAAAAAAAAAATGTCTGACCAAATTTGGAAAAGCACATACACTACCTTTCAGACGTTTGGATCAGTAAGATTTTCTTTCATTTTTTTTTTTTTTTAAACTTCATTCTTTTATTCAACAAGGATGCATTAAATTGATCAAAATTGACAGTAAAGAGGTTTATAATGTTACAAATGACTTATTTCATGTAAATGTTTTTTTTTTTTTTTTTTTTACTATTCGTCAAAAAATCCTGAAAAAATGTATCACAGTTTCCACAAAATTATAAAGCATTAAGCAGCACAACCGGTTTTTTACATTAAAAATAAGAAATGTTTCTTGAGCAACAAATAAGCATATCGGAATGATTTCTGAAGAATCATGTGACACTGAAGACTGGAGTAATGACTGCTGAAAAGTCATCTTTGCCATCACTCGAAAAATAAAATTTTAAAATATTTTAAAGTTGTAACAATATATCACAATGTAATTTGCCCACCATATGTCTAACATACTTACGAACCTTTCTTTGACTTCAGCTGCTGGTCAGATCCCGGCCACTGCTCTGCTGCCCACAATGACCCCTGAGGGTCTGGCTGTGACTCCAACACCTGTTCCTGTCGTGGGCAGTCAGATGACTCGACAGGCCCGAAGGCTTTATGTCGGCAACATCCCATTTGGCATCACAGAGGTGAGGTCCATTATTATCATTGACATTCATTAATATTTCGGTGTAGTAGAAGGTGTGATGATCTTTCTGTCAACATTATCATTAATCCGGTATTATTTTGGCTGCCATCCATAAACCGGAGTACAACTGATTATTATTATTTATTTATTTTTCTTACTCCATTATGATGAATAGCATTGCGTTCTGATATTTTTTTGTTTTTATAGGAGTCTATGATGGACTTCTTCAATGCTCAGATGCGTTTAGGTGGCCTGACTCAGGCCCCAGGTAACCCAGTCCTTGCTGTTCAGATCAACCAGGACAAGAACTTTGCCTTTTTGGAGGTCAGTCTTCATTCAGAGTGGTAGAGCTAATTTTGTAGATCCTCACATAAATGCTTCAGGAGGTATTGGGAGCGTAATATGAATGTTATTTTTATGTTTGGTAATATAGTTCCGTTCGGTTGATGAGACAACACAGGCCATGGCATTTGATGGCATAATTTTCCAGGGACAGAGTTTAAAGATTCGCCGACCACACGATTACCAGCCTCTGCCAGGCATGAGTGAGAATCCCAGTGTCTATGTCCCAGGCACGTCTCTCTTTTGCTCCCCCAATTCTTGTACGCTCAATGTTTTGCTCTTTTCAATCAAAAGTTTAATATTTATTAATTTAATGTGGATCATTGTTGGTCACACTCTGGTTCTATCTCTGTAGGTGTTGTCTCCACGGTGGTGCCTGATTCGGCCAATAAACTCTTCATTGGCGGTCTGCCAAATTACCTCAACGATGACCAGGTTTGTGTTAAAATGGCAGTGTGTTCCGTTCACTGTCAAAGGGTCGCTCAATTTTTTCTCGAATGGGCAGAGCTTTCAGAACCAGATCTGCCAATCTTTTTACATTTTATGCTTTACCAAATGAAATATGAAACCTTTTCATGCTTCACAGAACAGTTGCTTCCATGATTTGAAAATTTGAAGCCTATAAGCTCTAGGGATGCTCCGATCCGCCTTTTTCGCCTCCGATACCGATTCCGATACCTAGGGTTCTCTATTGGCCGATACCGATCCGATACCAGTGAAGTTTTTTTCCCTCATTTAAATAAATGTAGAATTTATATATCTCTGTGTGTGGAACTGATAGTCATTCTTTCACAATCTACTAGATACAGACTACTTCATTATAAAGAAAAATAAAACAAACAATAAATATGAAAAAATATAGGCCTATGTATATTTATAATCTATGACAAAAATGTATCAAACTAGGTTAGTGGATAATTCGGCAGCAAAAGTTATTCTAGAAAAATCAGTGCACAATAATTTTAGAAATCCAAACATTTAGTGAAAAAACAATATTTTGTGGGGAACAAATAAAAGTGTTGCACTAAATATGGTAAAATGTTACACATTGCTATTTGTATTATTATAAAATCCATTAATTAAAAACATTCATGAATGTATTTATATATAAGTATATACTGTAAAATTAAAAATACATTTCTTTTAAATCTATAGCATATTTTTTAATAAGGCAACAACATATGATAGATACGATAGGACAAAACAAATACAGTGAAGCACGAACTGTTTTTATACAGTCTATGAGCACGAAGCGCTTACAATGTGCGCATCCGGTGTGCAGAATGATGCGCTTGAAGCCTGAAGCAACCTGGTGTCACAGCCTGCACACCGGATGCGCACATTGTACACGCTTCGTGTTAAAAACTGCAAAGCACAAAGGGAAGAGAATTTGATGCGTAGTGTATTATATCTGTGCAACAGTTATTGAGCCTTTCTTTTAACAGTTTTAAATTTCAGTTACTGTGCACGTTAAAAACTATTTATAGTCTTTTCTACGCCCGTGTTTTGTTCTCACAGACACCCGGTAGCAAGTAACAAAACAACATTAAATTCCGGCAAGAAGATAAAGTCCTTTTTGCAAAATCATAGACATGTATTTACAAATCAAGTATAATGGGAACACAGAATGATCTTGGAGAGCGCTTTACCGAGCTGACTGCTGTAACCGAACGAGACCAGGGTTTAAAGGCTGAACGAATGACTGACAGCCGCAGCGGAGAAAATAGTTTGTGTGAACTTTAATGTAAGAACTTAAATATGCATATGTAGCTCACATTAAGCTATCATATGGCTTCAGAAGTAACGCAGAATAATTCGCACAATCGAAAAAAAAAATAAAAAAATCTCGAATTTAGATCGTCCCTCTCTGACCGATACCCGATCCGAGAAAAATGGCACTATCGGAGCCGATACCCGATATGAATATTGGATCGGCGCATCCCTAATAAGCTCACTTGTGTTAATGTGTACATTTTAAAATTTAATTTATTCCTGTGATTGTAAAGCTGAATTTTTACCAGCTATTATTAATCTTGTGTCACATGGTCTTTCAGAAATTGTTCTACCGAACTATTTGATTAAATAGAACACTCAAAAGCATTTGTTTAAAAATGTCATTTTTTTTACTGTGACATGGATCAGTTTAATGCAGAACTTTTGAATGATAGTCTGTGTGTATATTTTTTCAGTTAATGATTTTTCTCTGTTCCACAGGTCAAGGAATTGCTGACGTCGTTTGGCCCTCTGAAGGCCTTTAATTTGGTGAAAGACAGTGCAACAGGCCTCTCTAAGGGCTATGCCTTCTGTGAATATGTTGACGTCAATATCAGTGACCAGGTGATGACAACAAAAAGCATAACATCTATATAATCAGCCTGTAAATGCTCTGCAAATAACACACATTTGTCCTCTGCATGCACTGTTGGCTTCATCATTTTATGTTTACTACATATATTGTTTAATATGGGCTGTATCTGTAGATCTGTAAGGAACAAATATTTAGCCTGGATTTATCCATGGGTTAGAACATGGCATGATCTAGAGGCAATGTCAGAGCTGTTGGTTGACACATGCTAACCTCTCCAAAGCACACTTTAATATCACAGGCCATCGCTGGACTAAACGGGATGCAGCTGGGTGACAAGAAACTCTTGGTCCAGAGAGCAAGCGTCGGCTCCAAGAACACCACACTGGTGAGGGAAAATTTATTTACTGGATGTAGGCCATGTAGACCTTATCTCCTGTTTCTCACCCTCTTCCCCTTTCTTTCCTCCCAAGACGGGTATAAACCAAACTCCAGTTACCCTTCAAGTCCCAGGTCTCGTAAACAGCTCGGTGACTCAAATGGGCGGCATTCCCACAGAAGTATTGTGTCTGATGAACATGGTGGCTCCAGAGGAGCTGCTGGATGATGAAGAGTATGAGGAGATCGTGGAAGACGTCAAGGATGAGTGCTCCAAATATGGCCAGGTCAAAAGCATAGAGATCCCGCGTCCTGTCGACGGCGTGGAAGTTCCTGGCACTGGAAAGGTTTGATAACTGCTTGTACATTGTCAAATTTCAATGTGACCTTTTAAAACAGTTATTTATGGTCTTTTTTTTTCTTTGTCTTAGATCTTCGTGGAGTTTATGTCAGTGTTTGACTCCCAGAAGGCAATGCAAGGCTTAACAGGAAGGAAATTTGCCAACAGAGTGGTGGTGACTAAATACTGCGACCCTGATGCATACCACCGCCGTGACTTCTGGTAGAGATGGGACAGAATCAAGAGTGAGAGAGACTCAGAGAGATGCAGATGGTGTGATTTCAATCTCTCGGAAGCCCCTTATTTTGTAGATTTATGAGGTCAGAGGGTGTGAGCTTTTTTAAAATCTGGCAGACTAAAAACATAACTTGTGTTTGGTCAGAATGTAGCGAACCAATCATTTGTCATGTTTTTTTTTTTGTTGTTGTTTTTTATGGCAACAACATTGAAGTATGTGCAAAGCTTTAAGATGGGAAAATAGACCTTACCATGTCATTGTCTACAGAAAAGGCTTCAGTTAGACATGCCACTAAACTTCCAGTTTAATTTTGGCCCATAGTGATTTTACATGTTACCTTTTCTCAATGTTAAATTTCTGCTCTACAGCTCTGTACAGCTCACACACTTTGAGCCAGACTGGTCAGATAGGAGTGAGAGGAGGATGTAAAGGAGCAGGTGAGGGAAGAGAAACAATGACAACTACAAAAATGAATGTTACACTCAAACAAGAAGGTGAGAGGGGGGTATTTGAGGAGAGAAGTCTTTGTTATTTGGATATGATTTTAATTTAGGCTGTGAATGAGGTTTCCTGTGTAAAAGTGTAGAGTTTAAAAAGCCAGAGGAGTTTCCGGGTCGTCTTTTGACACCATACATGTATGAGGTAAAGCCGCTATCTTGTAGAGGGTGAATATTACCAATTACATCAACACTGTCTTCTATTTTCCCCCACATCCTGTCTTTTTCCTGCTATCTCTCCCTCCTTTTATAATAGTTATACTGTTTCTTGTGAACCCTATTTTCCTGGCCTGATCTAACCAAATTTATACACAGTGAAAAAGATACTTGTCTCATTTGTTTTTTTCTTTTTTCTTTTTATACATTCTGTATCTAACTGTCCACTGCTGTTTTTTAAAACTGTAATAAGCTGAGTTGATTTAATACAATGCGTTTATGTATGAGGACCAGAGAAACTTCTGGTGAAATAAACTCAATGCGTTTGAATTGACTTTCTACACACTGTATCTGTATTCTGCCAGCAAAAGTGGCACTGCTCACTTCCAAGTAGTGTAGCTCCGATATGGTATCTGAGTATTATGAGCAATGGGTTAGTCAGTAGTCAGTCTGTTTTTAGCCTCTGTAGGGGGCGGCTAGGCTGGTGTATGTTTGTGTTTTGTGTTTTTTCCCCCCTGATATATAAAAATAAGAAACAGGACAAAAGTATCGTAAATATGTTGATTGCTGATAATCAAGTGTTTCTATAAGTTGACTGGAAATTATGAAATGCAGAGAAATCGAGATTGAGGAGTTTAATGTGCTTCACAAGACCAGTAGATTAAACTGAATAAAGTCCTCTGCAAAGACTGGGAAAAGAGTTGTTTATCGGGTGGTTAATTTTAATAGAATATAATAAAACTGCATTTAGCTGCTTGGCAAATGTACATGGATATAATTTCATTATCTTTATTATGTAGAAAACAAATTGTATTACTGGTTAGAAAAAATGGTCTCTGAGTCTCAGTCCTAAGTAACTACAGACTACCTGATGCATGTTGTGCAAAAAATGTCTGAAAATGAATTCCAAACTGACTAATACTTTTTACGGTGCCAGGAAAAATTTGTTAACAAGCGGAGCTCAACAGTAAGGATTCTTTTTAATTTTCTGGTCCTGTCTGACCAGTAATTCTGATTTTTATGTACCCTGCGACAAAAGAATGATCAGTTTTAATTTTTAGCACTGTATTTGCTAGAAGTCAACTTGTACAACTTTATTATTTTTTTTCACCCACTGATAATGCCCCAGCTCTCTAACCTTCTTTTTTATCCTTTTTCTTTCTCACACACCCCTCTTTGATTTAATGCCATCTATAACTTTCTAAGCTGCTCTATCAGCTGCTTTCTCTCGCCTTATAAACAGTCCTCTCGCTTTTCTGTCTTTGCAACTGTAACTCTCACGCTCTTAATGTCATTAACAGGTGCTTGTCCAAAATAGAACCCTTGCCCATATACACACACACAAACATCCGTGGATCAGCTGACATACACTCGACTTTCTTTCCCACAGACGTGCAAAACTCTCACTGACATACACTGAAAAATGTAAAATCTGTCCATGCGCAGATAAATACTCTTGCATGAACCATCTGCTTGATGATTGAGCTGTCAAACATTCATACTGTCATACATAGTCTCCACAACTTGATTTCATGAGCCCCAGTCCCAGTTTTCTCCACCCTTCTTTTTTTCTCTCTCTTTCTCTCTAGCTCTCTTTACGTCCCTCCTTCTCCTCCCCTCTCAGCTGAGTTTCATGTATGTAGTCATCAGATCTGCACCCACACAGAACAGGTCAGGATTTCATTGCTCTGTGTTGATGGTTTTTCAGTGCACTTGCTGCACAGATGCATACTGTCATAGTTTAATAAAATCTGTGACGCAAACCTTAAATTTCATTGCATAGTTTTACATTGTGCAGCTTCTAAAAATGTGTATTTTATTATGCACTCAGGAAAATTGATTGATAATACATTTGATAACTTTGCAAACTTATCTGTTTTTCTCTCAAAACCTAGAATTTCTAGAATGCATTGATGTGTTGAATAAGTTTAAACGTATTGTCTGTACACTGCTACAGGTGTAACTGATTTTGTATGGTAACCTGCATTTAAAAAAAAAAATTTTATTCATAATTTAGCACTTTTATTGCAGATGTTGACTGACGTTGTTTGTCTTGCTATTTAATAAGCTACTAACATATAGGCAGTTACGTTGGTCTGAATGTAATTTATTTTGCTGAGAGATGTTTATACGTTGTTTCTGGATTCGATAATCGCAGTTGCTTTAAAATGATAATTGGTTTCTTCCATTCTGACTGCCTTGACTGAGATGTGAGCCCCATTTTCCTTTTGAGGAAACTGCTTGCAAAGTATAGTACGTTATAGAAGCATAATTGTTTTGAAGGAAGTTTTGACAGAGTTGGGGTAATATAAAGAGCAGAGATGGAGATGATCTTGGTGGGTTAATTATAGCCTGTGTTACATTTCCAGGTCATGTATAGTGTTTTGACAGTGTGTTATATCTCAAATGACTAACTTACACAACAAAATGTGAATCCAAACATCGTATCTAGTATCTAGTTTTATATCTGCAGAACAGTTTGTAGTCACACTGCATAATCTGTATTTTTACTTGTGTATTGACTTTAAGTTTAATATATGCAATTAAGTTGATTTTTATTACAATATTTTTTGTTTTAAGCTTAAAGCCTGACTGACTTTTGAATGGTAGTGTATACTTTAAAAACTATTTGCCGATGGGGCAAACTTAATTAAAAAATAAACTTCAAAATATATACTGTCTAAAAGTATTAAAATCTTAAGTATATATATATATATATATATCAATAATATTCTAGTGCCTTGAATGTTCTAGAAAAAATGCTGAATTATCGTTAAAATGTATTTTTAATTAATATTTTAATTATAATTATTATTTGTTTGTACTATATTTTACTATATAGATATAGAGATAATTTTAGCGTTTTTAGTGTTTTATGCTATAATTTTGGCTATGGGCCACATGCTTGTTTCTAGGCTTGTTGTATTCTTATTGCTCCTGTGTGGGTGATTGGCATCAATGAGCCTTGTCTTGTAGTATGTTCCCTGCACGGGTACAGTGATAACCAGTGTTGGGCAGTAACTAGTTATTAGTAACTTAGTTACTGTAATAATATTACTTTTTGCAGTAACTAGTAGTGTAACTAATTACTAATAAGATTTCAGTAATATTATTACAGTTACCATCCATAAAACAGCTTAGTTACATTTGATGCCTCAACTGCTGATTTAAAATCCCCCAAAAAATCCCAAAATTCCTAGATTTATTTTCATAATTTTCACGACTCACACATTCATGTGATGTCCCCAGTGCAGCAGGCAAGCTTGGAATATGGAAAAGCTTACATTCAGCAGATAGAAATATTGCATTATATTGATTTTGTCAGGAAAAAAGATGATCTGAGCACATTTATTTGACCCTCTAACTCTAACACTTTCTATTCTATTTTAATTCTACTTTATCTACATTTATCTTTTTTTTTTATTCTTTATTAAAAAAACAACAAAAAACAAACACTAGCTTTCTATTTTTTTCTATTCTATCTACTTGTTTTTCTTTGTGTGTGTGTATATAAAATATATATATATATATATATATATACACACACCTTGCTACGTGTACTGCATTAGGCTAACCGAGACTTGTCATTTGCACTTATATATTGTTGCTCTTTTGTTAGTTTTGACTGCTTTTATTGTCCTCATTTGTAAGTCGCTTTGGATAAAAGCGTCTGCTAAATGTAAATGTAAGATACACAGTTACAACTTCTGTGGGGCGTGAAGAAAAAGTAATGTAACTAGTAGTGTAACTAATTACTGTTTCCAGAAAGTAATAAGTAAAGTCACAATATTACTTTTGAAAGGAGTAACTAGTAATGAGTAATATATTACATTATTTGAGTAACTAGCCCAACACTGGTGATAACGACTTTAGACCCTCTGTTGTTTTGCCGGTCATACATGAATTAACACCTACTGCTCCACCTGGCTCCTCTTTTCGCCTCTATTCTCAACAACCTTGTGTTTCATCCCTCAGTCTTCCTGCTCTCGCATCTTTTTTTAGAGTAGCAGAATGGCGCACACCTTGAAACTCTCTGTCCATAGATCTAATAGTTCTCTGTACATGTAATGCTGGGGTATTTATGAGGCCTTAAAATGGCACAGATCAAACAGGCAGGGCTAAAGTGGGCTGAGTTATGCGGGTATGTGTTGATATCTTGGCGTCGCATCTGGCATAGCTAATTCTTAGACAATGTGACCTAATCGTGACCCATATTAATCTTCTCTGTAAGCATACTGCCTGTTTGTTTACTCAACAGAGGACAAAGGTATAATGTTGTTTTCAAGGTATTAAAGGGATAGTTCACCCAAAAATTAAAATGCTGCCATTTACTCACCTTCAAGCTGTTCCAAATCTGTATGCATTTCTTTCTTCTACTGAGCACACACACACAAAAGATTTTGAAGAATGCTGGTAACCAAACAGTTACTAGTGCACATTGACTTCCATAGTATTTTTTCCATACTATGGAAGTCAGTGGGGGACCATCAACTGGTTGTAGATCTCTGATAAATGAAGCCCATACAGGTTTGGAACAACTTGAGGGTGAGTAAATGATGGCAGTGTTTTGATTTTTGGGTGAACTATCCTTTTAAGGCTGTTCTCTATGCCACAAATTACTGGATTAGTTGTGACCTTAAAGAGAAAAAATTAAATAACACAATGTTTTTTTTAAGTACTGTAGTGTATGCAACTGCAAACTCTTGTTTCTAGTAAAAAATATCAAGGGTGTAAAAAAAAAAAACTGTTCAAGGTTCTCTAAAAACAAGACGTGTTGATATGCTTTTAAATAATAATTTTACTTGTAATTTCATTAGATATTTAAAAAAAATTACATTAAATTAAAAGCTTAATTTTTTTAGGCTTTTGTCGTGAATGAACAAATTCTACACAAATTACAATAAACAAAAGAATAACAATTTCATCCTTATTGTAGTGTTTGAATTAAATTAAAACTTTAGAATCGAGTTATTCAAATAATTAGAAGTAGTAAGTATCAGTAGTAATAGTTTTTGTACCCCATTGGCAAATTATAAAAAATAAATAAAAATAGTGACTAAAGGGAAAGATCAATTGTAGATCTCTGATAAATTTATTCTTCAGTCCTTCTGCTATTTACTGTGTTTTGAATACTAGTCTTTTTTTTTTCTCTTTTTTTTTCTGCAGGTTCATCAAAAAAAGGAATGCATCATCTTTTTACAGCTCTATAAGGCCTCGATCCAGTGTCTCTCATCAAGTCATTCTTTTCATCTACCCATTATTCCTGTCTAGTTTGTTATCAAACAGTCTTGTGTTTGTAGACGGCAGTTAATTCCCACTCTACGCTCTTCAGAAATGACCCCCTGTCACTTGAATTTCTTGCACGCTGGATTCTTTTTAAATCACAGAACATTGTAATAATTTCCTGTTCCTTTTTGAGCTTTCTATTAATATACTTCTCTGCGTGCTCATTATTTATCCATCCGCCTAACTCCAGACTCTAGTCTCCTGTTTTTTGCTTTAGTTATTTGTTTGTCCCCTTTCTTGACTTTGCCTCTGGGAATTTCCTTCTTTCATCTCCAACTATTGTAGCTGCTATGTGGTCCAACTTTTTTTTGCAACAGGAAGACGACGGGAGAGTAGGTACGGCAGCTTTGGGTGGACTTGGCGGTAAGAGCGGGCGTTCAGGTGAACGGCCGAAGCCCCCTCGAATGAGTGACAGCCAGGAGGGCAAGATCAAGCTGGCATTTTTTGTCGCCCTCATAGGCGTGACTCTGACGGTACTTGGCATGGGTACAGAGTTCTGGGTGGAGTTATCTCAGCCAAAACACTCCAGGAACAACCAGACATGTGAGATGGCACATTACGGCCTTTGGAAATTATGCGTTCGCACGCTATGGGTGTCAGATATTGACCCGGAGAGAGAGAGCTGTGGACCTGCAGAACTACCTGGAGGTGAGAGCACATACTCACTCACTCACTCACTCGCCCACCCACTGTCTATATTCAGAACAGAATACTACCATACTTCTCTCACTGTTATGCAAAATGTCTGTTTGCGTAACATCTGGATGAACTGCTGCATACTGTATCCCACAATGCAGTGTGCTTGAATTGTAATATGTGCTGTGAATTTTAACATCTGTTTCTTGACTTGGCTCACTATTTAAACATATAGTCTCTTAAGCTCACCAAGGCAAAAATACAGTAAAAAACGATTACAGTTTAAAAGAACTGCTTTCTATTTACTTTAGTGTTCAGTGTCACGTGATCCTTCAGAAATCATTGTAATATGCTGATTTGGTTCTCACTTGTTATCAGTTATTATTACTCCCCACAAGAATGTTAAGCAGTACAGCTGTTTGTAACATTGATAATAATTAGAAATATTTGTTGAGCAGCAAATCAGCATATTAGAATGATTTCTGAAGGATCATGTGGCACTGAAGACTGAAAATTGAGTTTTGCATCACAGGAATAAATTGATTTTTAAAATGGAAAATAGTTATTTTAAATTGTAATAATCATAAAATATTACTGTTTTTATTGTATTTGTATTAAATAAATGCAGCCTTGGTAAGTATAAGAAACTTATAAAAAAAAAAAAAATAATTATTTAGGTATATATATAATATATACACACTACAAGTAAACAGGAATCTAGTTTTTGGATAATATATAATTATTATTAATTATTAACATAAAAATGTGATTTAAAATGCAAAAAACGGTTTTTATTTCCAAGATATGATACTTGTACACTACTTGATAAATTAAACATGCAGCATAATGCTGTTAAAAGCATTTCTTGTTACATAATGCATTCTGTTTCACATACAGTTTTTAAAAAGTTGCACAGTGTAGAATTCAGTAGACGGTATGATAGTTTTCTATTCTGAATATAGTCACCATATTACACACCCGGCCTACCAAACCAGTGTGTTGTTTGTTTGGCTCCTGGGGAAACTGGAGGCTGAAATCATGAGATAAAAATACAAAATAATAAGCAACAATAAAGAAATTATAAAGTTTACTAAATTAATAAACACATACACAAAAGAGTTTTAGGCTATTGTTGGAAATGTGAGCACATTATATAGTATTCGTATATGTATGTAGCAGGAGGAGCAAATCATGCATAATTGTTTTTAAAGACACAAAGCAGCATTCAGCACACCTACAGTCAAACAGTGATGTTATTAATGACTGTTGACTTTCTGAGACGCAGTACTAGCTGCTTAGTGTTCTGGTTTGTGATATTCATCTTACCTCTCACATAACAACACACATGAACAGAGAGCCAGGGAGCTTCATTTGCCTCAGTTTGTAAGGCCCAGACGACTGTGATGATGTCTCTTGTAACAGTGCCACTGGTCCGACTGCCAGCTCTGTTAAGGAACAGTTCCACACTCGGATCATAACATGACGCCCCTTTAGCTGAGAATGCAGAACAGCAAATTTTGGGCCATTTTTTTCCTGCCAAATTGGGAAAGATTTGGCCAATTCAGAGAAAAGGCAACTAGTTTGGTTTCTGCATCGAACATATTACATACTGTTAATGATAACTAAAATTTTGTAATGATTTAATGCTGCAACCCTGCCATAGAGATGCCTTGATTCCATTCTCAGTTATGACTTCCATGATGCATTTTTAAGAGATCTGTTCAATATTACATTACCAGCTCTATGCTAATCATATCTAGTGCAGCTCACAGCAGTGACCTTACTTGAATGTGCATCTGTGTGCCGAGTACATGTATTTAAATTAGGCTGACAAAATAATTTAGTACAATTATTATATATATTTATTTAAACATTAGTATTTTTACATTTATGTAAATATATAAAACATTGAAATTATATTTATTTGTCTAATTATAAAACATGAAATAATAAAAAAAAAACAATAAGCATATTTAATCATGCCCTTTGACCCCTACGGAAATAATAGTGTGCACATAAAAAGGATTTTTCATACCATATTGAAAAGTGATGTTTAAATTCTTTTAACTTGACAAAGTCTCTTGAAATGTGACTTTCTTGGTGAGATATGCTAGAAAAAAGCAACAAGATACAACAAAATGGGCAAAAACATGACAGCGATTCATGTGTAGCTAAAAAAAACCAGCATAGGTGGGAAATGCAAGAATATGGATTGCTGTGGACTGTAGGTCAGTGATTGGTTTATGTTCACTGGTGTGAAAATAAAACAATATATTGACTTCTAAAGACACTTTATTTATGTCTAGTTAAAGCTTACAATGATAGCTTTGAATAATGTGTTTGAATATTCTCCGTTTGGGGGCTTTTCTCAGCAAATATTTGTATATGCAATTATTTGTGACTAAATCAATGAATTAATTTGAATATAATTGCTTTTAATTATATAGAATTGCTTTTAAATATGATAAAAGAATGTAAAAGCACATAAAATCTCCAAAATGAAGATGTATGTATGTATATGTGTATGATTAGATTTTCTTCTTTTTTTTTTATCTACAGCCGTGGCCAAATGTTTTGAGAATGACACAGTATTAATTTTCACAAAGTCTGCTGCCTGTTTTTATGATGGCAATTTGCATATACTCCAGAATGTTATGAAGAGTGATCAGATGAAGTCCCTCTTCGTCATGAAAATTAACTTAATCCCAAAAACATTTCCACTGTATTACAGCCTTGCCACAAAAAGGGACCAGCTGACATCATGTCAGTGATTCTCTCATTAACACAGGTGAGAGTGTTGATGAGGTAAAGGCTAGAGATCACTCTGTCATGCTGACTGAGTTAGAATAACAGACTGGAAGCTTTAAAAGGACGGTGGTGCTTGAAATCATTGTTCTTCCTCTGTTAACTGGTTACCTGCAAGGAAACGTGCAGTTATCATTGCGTTGCACAAAAAGGGATTCACAGGCAAGAATAATGCTGCTAGTAAGATTGCACCTAAATCGATCATTTATCGGATCATCAAGAACTTCAAGGGGAGAGGTTCAGTTGCTGTGAAGAAGGCTTAAGGGCACCCAAGAAAGTCCAGCAAGCGCCAGGACCGTCTCCTAAAGTTGATTCAGCTGCGGGATCGGGGCACCACCAGCACAGAGCTTGCTCGGGAATGGCAGCAGGCAGGTGTGAGTGCATCTGGTGACGTCACGGACACTATGTCCATGTTTTTATACAGTCTATGATCTGCACGCACAGAGAGGCCAAGACTTTTGGAGGATGGCCTGCACTCTTAAGAAAAATGGTTATAAACAGTACCAGAAAAGGGTTCTTCGGCGTGTAGCAATAGCAGAACCCTTTTTAGTGCTAAATAGAACCTTTTTTATAGGGTTCCATATGGAACCATGCTTTGAAAATGCCATATAGGACCTAAATGGTGTTATAAATAACCTTTTTAATGATAGTTTTTCATTAATATTATTACATTAATATAATTAATATTTGTATATATTATTTATTAATATTTATATAATATCTTGAAGTGTCTATTAAGGTTTTACATAAAAACAACAACAACGTGTCAGTTAGGTACTTTTATTTTTTTAATGATGTGAAATTGTAGCAAAAATGAGTGTTCTAACAGTTATTAGCATAATACATTAATGAATGAAAATGGACATTGAACATAAATAAATGCTAAAATAATTAAAACTAAATATAACATGAAATAGTGTATTGAAGACAAGCTCCAGTGACATATCTTCACAAACTTCCTGATGCCTTTAAGTTCATCATTATCTGTATTTTGGTGTGATTGAATGGCAGTTTCTCTGCAGATGATGATGAGGTTGTAGGATGTGACAGCACCTGGAATGCACAATTGAGTTTAGATATACAATGTGTCTCCTTTCATCTGTTTATGTGAAAGCAGTTGTTTATGAAGGCCAAAAGTAGTATGTGATAACTTCACAATGTTAAAAGGAAGTAATATAAAGTCATGGGATAGCTGGGTATGTTTATGCATAAACCTAGTAATAAAAAAAATCTTAACAAAATGGACCATAAATTCAATAGCTTTGTTACTTAGTGAAGAAGAGGAGAGTAGTATCCTTACCTGAATAGAGCTTACATGTTCTCTTAAACTAAAAAGAGAAAAGACAGAAAAACCAATTAACATTTGAAAGTTACAATATATAGACATTTTAAGAAAAATTATTTACCTGTTGAGAGTGTGCTGACAGTCTGTGTAGTTTGATGGCTGAGCTCAAGAAAATCAGTAATGAGGCATCTTAGAGTGTAGCCTCGGTTAGGGTTTTACATTAAAACAACAATAACCACAACAGCAGCATGTTGTGTGAATTAAGTATGTTTTTATTGACATGCAAAATTGACATTCAGTGCTCTTAACAGTTATTAGCTGAATACATTTATGAATGACAATTGACACTGCACATGAATAAATACATGAAGTAAAACAAAAAAATAGATGTGACGAAGAAAGAAGTTTCAGTGAAACAGTCACAATCCTCTATGATGCCTTTAAGTCCATCATTTTGGTGTGATTAAGTGGCGATTTTTCTCCGCAGATGATGAGGTTGTAGGATGCGATACATCTGTGGAGAAGAGGAGAGAAGTTTCCACAGCTTAGCAGAGTTGCACACACTTATGTGACCAAAAACTAAAAAAAAGATAAGCACATGTTTGTTTGGAAACCAGTTACAATTTTAAAGTTAAATTTGTGTTTAATTTAAGAATGAAATCATTTACCTGTTATTCGCCTCAATCGCGTCTTTCGCGCAAGTTCAAAAATTTCAACTTGAGCGGAAAATTCGCCCGACGCGTTCTCGCGCAAGCCAATCAGCGAAGAGCTTATAGGCACGTCTGGTTGAATCAGACAATAGAAGAGAGCATTATTGCAGCCGTCTGTTATTATATAGGTCTGGAGCATAGAAAACAATTAAAATCAGTTGTAGTAGTTGTATTATATTAGCATGGCTACAGAGATGCTGCTATCAATAATAAAAAATAATAGTAATATCAGTGTATACAGTAGTAAAATGTAACACACACATTAATACAGGATCCTAACGTTATTCATCCTCCTCTGGATGGTGCTGTGAACCCAGACACGTCGGCGTTTGGCTTTCCATTGTATTTGGGACTTTTTGACAACAGGTACAAAACAGCGATTGTAGTTATCTCCACCATGGTTGATCGCGCTGTTTTTATTCGCGCGAGTGACACGAAAAACATGCCGCGAGTAATCTAGAGCGAGTGGCGCGATGCGCATATTCGCTTCGCGTCTGGTGTGAACGCACAACACAAAGAACCGTTTCAGCATAAAAGGGTTCTTCGGAATGCTATGGTTCTTAATAAAACCATTACTGCATGCAAAGAACCTTTAAAGAACCATCTTTTTTTAGGGTGTAGTGTCAAGAAGAGCAGCAAAGAACCCACTTCTCTCCAGGAAAAACATCAGGGACAGACTGATATTCTCCAAAAGGTACAGGGATTGGACTGCTGAGGACTGGGGTAAAGTCATTTTCTTTGATAAATCCCCTTTCTGATTGTATGGGGCATCCGGAATAAAGCTTGTTCGGAGAAGAAAAGGTGAGCGCTACCATCAGTCCTGTGTCATGCCAACAGTAAAGCATCCTGAGACCATTCATGTGTGGGGTTGCTTCTCAGCGAAGGGAGTGGGCCCACTCACAATTTTACCTAAGAACACAGCCATGAATAAAGAATGGTACAAAAACATCCTCCGAGAGCAACTTCTCCCAACCACCCAAGAACAGTTTGGTGATGAACAACGCCTTTTCCAGCATGCTGGAGCACCCTGCCATAAGGCAAAAGTGATAACTAAGTGGCTCGGGGAACGAAACATCAAAATATTGGGTCCATGGCCAGGAAACTCCCCAGACCTTAATGCCATTGAGAACTTGTGGTCAATCCTCAAGAGGCGGGTGGACAAACAAAACCCCACAAATTCTGACAAACTCCCAAGCACTGATTATGCAAGAATGGGCTGCCATCAGTCAGGATGTGGCCTAGTTGACTGACAGCATGCCAGGGCAAATTGCAGAGGTCTTGAAAAAGAAGGGTCAACACTGTAAATACTGGGTCTTTGCATAAACTTATTGTAATTGTCAATAAAAGCCTTTGACACTTATGCAATTCTTGTAATTATACTTTAGTATACCATAGTAACATCTGACAAAAAGATCTAAAAACACTGTAGCAGCAGACTTTGTGAAAATTATTATTTGTGTCATTCTTAAAACTTCTGGCCACAGCTGTATTATGACTATATACAATTTGATCATTATCATTTTTAATTAGGTGAAAGTTATGGAAAAGATGGTCAAAGTTAAAGCAGAAAGGTAGTCATATTGCGCATGGATAAACTGCAATCTGACTGCTGCCCGGTTTCAAGTCTAAATATAGAGGACATGAGTGAAAAAACTGGAAATGTAAGAAGACAACAGACAAGATGCAGAGGACAAGAGAGAGTGAATGTGGATTTGATGTTGCATATATTAACCTGAGTATGTTCTTCCTTTTTCTGCCCTTCGTCCTCTCTTTCCATCTGCCTCACTCTCATTCCCTCCCTCTCCATCTGCTTCGTTCTCCGTCTCTCTTGTTCTTTCAGTGCCATATGTGAGAAGGCTGCTCTGTGTCCTCGGCACATTAATACACAATGACCCTCACAGGGCTTCCAGAGAGCTCAAGTGCCTTTTTTTGTTTTTCTGACTGATCTTTATTCTTCACCTTCACTGTCTCATTCTTCTCTCTCACTGTCTCATTTTTCGCCCTCAGAATCAAACTGCACATACTTTAAATTCTACACTTCTGGAGAGAATGCTGTCATATTTAAGAAAACAACAGAAAACCGTAAGTTCTTCCTGTATAGTCTGCCCTCTTTCCTCTCTGCCATCGATGTGCTCTCTCGTCTATTCATTCTCTCTCCCTCCACGCTGTTTCTCTCATTGAAAATTAGTCATGTGTTTCTGTCTCCTCCCTCTGCTCCATGTCTCTTCATCTCTCCACATCCCATACTGTGTACATGCACAAGAATTCATCATACTTGAGCTCTGTTTCTTGTTCAAATCATATTTAAGTTTACAAGTGCATTGGGATAATTCTTGAATATCCCAACAAAATATATGCCCAAATGTATCTGGACACCCCCTCTAACAGCTTTGGCTAGGCCGTTTAAAGGTATAGTTCACCAAAAAAAAAAAGAAGAAACTCCTGTCATCATTTACTCACCATGTTGTTCCAAACACTCTTTATTTCTGTGGAACACAAAAGGAGAAATATTGAAGAATGTACTAGTCATTTTTTCATGCAATTTCAATCAAGCAATGATGCAAAAGCATTAGAAAACTGGTAAAAGTGGTCCATACGCTATATTTCATGTCCTCTGAATTCATACAATAGTTTTGTGTGAAACAGACTGAAGTTTAAGTTATTATTCACTAAAAATCTCAACATTTTCTCTGTATAAAATCAGTTAACTGTTATTGAGTTAGTGTTCCAGGTCAGTTTGAAATCATTCACTCTGGTATTGTGAACTGGCTTAACTGATTCATTGGAAAGACCTGATTCAAAAGAAAAATTGGTTGATGATTCAGATATCACAACTTCTCACCAAGATGTCAAGATTTTTAGTGAATAATTACTTAATTTTTAGTCTGTTGCTCACATGAAGCTCATGTCTTGGAATATAGCATACCTTTTGTGATACCACTTGAGCTAATAGTGTTCCTGTATATCAGCTGGTAGACCTTAATGATAGCAACATAAAAATGATTTACTGCTTAAAATTCAGATTGAACCTCATCGAACACCTTTGGGATGAGCTGGAATGCTGAATGTGAGCCAGATCCCATTGGCCAAAATTGGTCCCTGACCTCACTTATGCTCTTCTGTCTGAATGGGAGGAAAATCCCTTCAGCCATGTTCCAGCATCAAGTGGGAAAGCCTTCCTAGAAGAGTGCAAGCTGTTAGGGAGGGGCATTAATGCCAATGGTTTTGAAATTAAATGCTCAACAAACACAGCAGGGTTTAGTTGACCGCATATGTTTGGCTATATTGTTTAACAATGGAGAATTTTGTATTAGAACAAATATGACTCAGTGTTTGCTTTGTTTCTCTCTTAGGTTTGCATATAGCTGGTGCAATGTTGGCTTTGTTCAGTTTGTTTCTGATGATCATGGGCTCTGTGTGTATCACTATGTCTCTCAGTAAGAGTGTGCCCTTCTTCCTCAAGCCTGCTACTATCTGCTTCATCTTCTCAGGTATCTTTTAAACTCCTCTTAACTGCATTCAGTGACTTTAAAAAACACCAGCATCTGCAGTAAATCTAAAAAGTAGTCATGGAGGAGGCTCAGTTTTATTGAAGCTTCCTGGGGATTGGCAAAGGTCAAGCACAGTGTGTCCCATTGCTGAGATTCTGAGCTTAAACCTCAATCATCTCATTGTCAGGCATCTCAAGAAATACAGCTGGCTGTATTTCAGTGTCACTTCACTAATCATGTGTAATTGCTTTATTTTGAGTTTGAGGTATATAATAAGAAAATATTGCAGAAACTTATGTCCCTGATATACTCACGGTGAAGTTCTTTTTCGTTCTTCGCTTGAACGAGGTGAGACAGTAGTGGGAAAACAGCAGTTAAGAAAGTATCTGATCGTAGCGATGTGATGTTTGCACCAGCTCTGCAATTCAGCACTCCAGTCAAGTCATGTCACGTTTATTTATACAGCACTTTATACTTTATAATAGATTGCTTTAAAGCAAGCAGCTTTATAGTATGAAACATGAAAAATAACGAAAAAAAACAAAACGTGTCACTTCCAATTAGAATTACAACCTCAATTACTACTATAAAGCAGCTCTTCAGTGTGTTCATGTTTTCACTCAAGTCTGACCTCAACGAAGTGAACTTTTAATGAGTCACTTAAAAAAAATGAAAAAGCCTCAGTCTCACGAGTTTACACATTTAAATCAGACTCAAGTTGATTTTTGTTGAATTGTTACTAACTTCTTAAGTAACTCCCTCACTGAACAGCAAGTCATGGAAATGAACAAGAAAGCACTACTGTGATGTATACTTAATTAAAAATAGAGATTTGTTAGAATCAATTAATAGTTGCATTACAAGAAAACATTTAAATATTGTAAACAAAAAAATGTTGCTGCTCAAAAAAGCAAGTTTGCATCAATCTTTTTGAGTTGAAATGAATGAAGTTATGTGTAACTAACAAAGTTAGAGGAACTTAATTTGTAGCATAAACACAAATTTTTAAGTTGTTTCAACTAATTTCAACAACTGATTGGTGGCTATTTCAGTTCAACCCCCCAAAACCAACATTTTAAATGTCAACTTTTAAATGCCAAGCATAACAGACATGACAAGCATAACAAACAATAACAGATCTTTCCCAGTCCAATTTTTAGTAATCAAGATAATTTCATTAAGTTAAAAAAATAAAATCAGTTAACAGAAATGTCCAGATATGCTTAATATGATGTTGATGTAATTATCAACTCATTAGCTCAACAAAACAATTTTGCAACTTAAAAGATTTAATTAAATCAATAATTTAGTATATGTTAACTTCTAGCCTTGCATTTAAATTGTTATTTAAACAGCAACAAATATTCTTCCAAAATGCAGTGATATTTATATGACTAAAATACAGTCAAGATCACTAGAGTATCAAATCGGAACTAATTTAAATGAAATGTACCTATATAACTTAAACTGTCAGCATACAGTGACTGCTGTTGCAAGCTAAAATAGGAAGCTTTGTAATGTGAAGCTCTACTGAAAAAATCTTTATTGAGCAATTTCATAATTTGTCAACTACATATGTAATTCTGCTCCTAAATGTTTCATGTTGAATCCAAATAGGTGAACCCGTTCATTTAAATAAAATGACCTTTTATCTCCACTTTCCCCAGGTGTCCTGGTCTTCTTGTCCATCATAGTTTTCCACCAGTCTGTGCTGGCGTTATTGGCAAGCGATCACAGTATCCCTCTCCATCACCAGTTGTCCTGGTCAGTGGCATGCCTTGGCTCGGCTGGGGCCATTCTCATTTTTGGAGGGCTTATATTCCTGTTGCTTTCCCTCCCCTACAACGCCCTGGAGAAATGTTTTCGTCAGCAGAGCAGTAGTGATGCCTAGCTCAGGGGGACTGCCGTGAGTTAAGTAGCACAAGATCTTTTATACTCTTATGCTGTTTGTGGAGATTAACTGATGTTATAAAGGACTCTCAAAACCTAATGTTCATAATGTTTTGCAATAACTAGCATTAGTTTGCTTATCAGTAAGATTATAGACTTTAATGCTCATACACCGACTCTGAAATTTGAACTGATATTTCTATGATGGTTATGTACATAAAATCAGTGACCAACAGATCTGTTTACTGTCTTTAAAGGCTTCATTTACACAAAATGTTGTGCTATTATGCATTGTCCCTGTGCATTGGTATAAGAAACCTTATTTGATTACTAGGCATATAATACTGACTTATCAGGTATCTGTGGTTTGAAAGTGTACTTTTTTTTTAATTTTTTTAAATAGGCCATCCTATCATTGCTAAAGGCACGTTCACACCAAGTGTCATTAGTGTCAGATAACGTTCTGCTTATTATAAGAGCACGCTGCAGTTTTGTCGTACGCCGCCTTAAATAAAAAAAAATCATCATGAAAATGATTCCAGCAATATTGTTCCTCTGTGGCATTATTGTTATAGCTGTGGTGTGGACTTCTCTATTCTCATAGAATTAGAATGATTATTAAAACTTTACAGTTATAGTTACCATTATAGTTATCATCCTTGGTGCAAGACTATTATTTCAACTGAAAAACAGCTTTTCAAGTTAGTTTGTGCTAGTAAGTGATGGCTTGTGAACCATCATAGCCTTGCTGTTTAATAGCAAAACTTGGCAGGTGAGCTTCTTTGACCAGAGGTATCTTTATGTTGAAGCTGGTTGACCAACAAAGTTTTGCTAGTGAGGCTAGTTATAAAAACCAAATGGGGACATCAGCACACTAGCATCACAACATATGCTTGTGACCAGCTACAGTGATACTAAAATGCAACACTTTTGGACACATTTAAAAATGTGAAAGTAATTGTTTAACAATATATCAGTTGTTTTATGAACCTTGCAAGTTTTTTATTTAATGTTTTACTTGGGAAGTGTCCTCGTCCCATCTTTCTTTCTTTCTTTCTTTCATAGATTTCAATGCATAGATTTGGGATGGTTTATTTATGTAGATGTTTAATACTATACATATGAAGCAGATGCGTTTCTATTGTGTGTATAAAAATGATGTACGAAATCTATTGATGTGGATGACACAGACCCACTGTTGAGCCACATTTTTATGTAGTGTGTTTACTGTATATTGTACTCCAGCTTTTCTTTAGACACTGTCCCTCACTGAACTTTCTTCTTTCTTTCATGTATGTTCTTCACTTGGTTGTTTGTGTCATTCTCTATTTGTCACACTCTTTCTCGTTTACTAGATTTGCTTGAGGATTAAATCTCTTTCACCTAAAACAGTCTCCTGCACTCCTTCCCTCGATTGTTTCTCAATCTCACTCCTTCTCTTTTGCCACTCGCTCCGTCTAAAATTAGCACATTGCTCATCTAAGCACATCAAGTTGAAGTGGTTGCGAAATATTATCCTAGAATGTCAACTATGCCCCCCCTCAACGTTCTCTCTCGATGTTGATGGCTCTCGGGTGTCTCCGAGGGTTTGGGTGGAGCTGCTGTTTCGCTGCGTCTGCTGTCCCGTCCCTCCTCTCCCACCCGAGTGTTTGTGAGTGCAGTGCCAGTACGTTTGGGAAGTGAGGAAAGGTCTGAGCCTCAGTAATCTGCATGTCTTTCATCCAGTCTAACTGGAGCCTCCATCCTGTGCGTAATAATCTAGATCTCCTCAAACCTCAGAAATGACAGGTGGCGAGCATGTTCCTAGAGCAACCGTCTCAACATGTCCTACAGTGAGTGTGCTTATTACTGGCTCTTTTAATTTGGCGAATTTACTTATGCTACAGCATTTGGTCTGTAGCACAAGAGCATGTCGGTTGATCTGATGTGGGGAGTATGGGTGGTGGGTGTAGAGTAGGGAAATTGGAGCTGTAGGCTGACACTCAAGCCAGAGGTCTGCTTGTATATATAGCCCTTTAATAGTGCCTGTCAGACTAGCGAGCTGTTCTTTCAGTTTTTATGTGTACGAGCGCATGGGGGGAATAAAACAGGATCTGCTGGCACAGGTTTATTAATTGGTGGTCGGGACCGAAATGAGTGCATGTTTGTGGGTGGGTATAATAAAACCCTCTCAAGACAGTCCTCCAATAGTGAGAAAGTGATGGCCCGCCCATCTGGAAATTAGGAAAAAATTAGGTCAATAATTGTCTACCATATTATAGAGAAGTTAAAAAAAAAGTTCAAATATGATTCTGCAAAATATCTAATTACATCTCAAGGCACTGTTAAAAGGAAGATAGGTGTTAAGACTTAAAAAAAAAAATTTAAGGTTATTAGAAAATTGGTTCATAACCTTTTGACTCCTGTTGTTTAAAACAATATTCAAAGGCCGTTACTTTTCCAGTTGAAACAAAACAGTTGTTGAGGGGTGAATTAAAAATAAGAAATATCTTGATTGGTTTGGCTTATTTTAATTCAAATTTTGTCTTGTTTAAATAATTTAAGTCATCTTGTGTCCTCCTTGAAAGTTTGCTGAGGCCCGCTGTTTGAGAACCACTGTATTAGTTTATGGAAATGCATTTTGTCCTCAAGAGTAAAAAAAAAAAAAAAAGATAATGGTGACTTTATTTCACAGAATTTAGAATTTATGACTGTCACTATTGTATTGCAACTTTTTGTGACCTTATATCTTATATGACTTTCTGTATTTTAAACATTATCTCACAATTATGTTTATAGTTTTTACTTTGAGATGGAAATGCACTTCCATAAAAGATCATCTTAGTTCTATGGATATAAGATGTTAAAAACACACAAATGACATCACTCGTAGATTGTCTGTTGTTTCTTTTATATATAAAATTCGTGCAATACAGTGTTAGAGTTTATCACACATTAAGATAAACCATATTTTCTCTAGATATCTCTATTCTCACCTACATAATATTTATAACTGACCACATAAATGCTGTGTAGTTTTTCACATTTTTTTATGAATTAAAAAAGACCCCCAATTGCAGGAGATTGTGATTTGATGCCCATTTGCACTCTATTATGTAATGTCCTGTGTTGACCTCTTGTTGGCTGGGATCATGGAATACAGGTTAAAGGTTAGCAGAATGTCCACATATATATAATCTCTCATTTAGAGAAGCAGACGGTTCAAAGGGAGTCAGGTGAAGCACAGTGAACGTTTGTTTTTGTTTTTTGTTTTTTTTGGAGGGGAGCTTTGCCTTTGGGATGCTGTCATGATCACATGACACAGTGAAGGGAAAACACAAAGGACACAGGGCATGCCTCAACATATGAGTTTAGGCCAATCAGAGCTCAAGGAAGACAGTGTCCTCATACATATTCAAAAAAGCCTGACCCACCCATTCTGCCCTTTTCAATACATAAAGAC